GGTTGATGGGGACAAAAAATACGAGACACAAAAAGACTTTTCACAGGATTGAGATTGAAAAAAAATCAGAATAACATTGCATTCATTATTTAAATTTTGTTTTACATTTCTTTTTTCTTTATGTTGTGGAGACCTGACCAAGATCCCATATTCAGCTGTTCAGCAACAGATCACTTGTAATAGTCATGAAATCAGCCAGTAATAAATCCCTACAGCAGTGATCTGTTGCTGCAGGAAGATGTTGTCAAGCATAGGGCCCCGAGTGTATTAGCTTTTTGAAGGAGAAGCTTTCTTCTGATATCGTCATCACTGTCTCAGTGATAGGGGATGAAGAGAATATACCCTCAAAATGTGTCAGTGCCTGCTACACTTCATTGGGTGTCATCTTTATCCGTCCAGGGCCACAGACTGTGGATATGGTTGAAGATCAGGGGCGGATTGACAACTCATGGGGCCCCAGGGCAATAGGGGATCATGGGGCCCCTGTGTCCTTGCCCAAACTCAAAAAAGCCTATGGAAAAAAAAAAAGGGACCAGGGGCATCTCATGGGGCCCCCTACTGACCCCGGGCCCTTGGGCAGTGCCCGAGTTTCCAAATGGTCAGTCCGCCCCTGTTGAAGATCCTTCTGTTTTATGCTATAGGCCTAGCACTCATCTGTGAGTATAAGGCTTCATGAAAAAATAATTTTTTAATATCACTTTTGGAGGTGTTTTGCCATTTTTTCTTTTCTTCTAAATGCCCCCTGATCTTAGCCTATATGCCATGCACACATAGGCATTTACGGGCAGAAAAAAACCCAGGGCCAGCGCATTCAGAAGAGGAGCTTTCCAGCATCAAAAAAACACTTGACACACCTAAATACATGTAAACACATTTAAACACACTTTGCCACTAGGCATGTCAAGTGTTTGGGCATTCAATGGCCATAATAAATGAATATTCTGGCCAGTGGAATAAATGATTGCCCAAACAGTGGACGCGCCTAAGCATGATTACAAACACTGCTTTAGGTGTGTTTTTGACGCTGCCTTTTACTCACTTGGAGCATAGGCGTCCAGGGGAGGAAAAAAAAAGCCCATATGCATGAGGCCTCTTGGTTTGGTATTTTGTATTTTAATAAATGGTACCACTGAAAAAAATGCAATAAGCTGGTGCATTGTTTTTTGTTTTTTTTGTGATTTAGTGTTCTGGAGTTCCTATTGGCTGTCAAGCAATGTGGCCCCTCTGAGACCCTAAAGACTGCAGTGACTGTACCTACAATTGGATGATGTGGGTACAGACTGTAGATCTGCTAAGGCAGATCCACCATGCAAAAGAATGGTCAATACACTTTGGTAAGTAAAGAGCAACTAACAATGCTTTAAAATATATATAAAAAAGCATATAAATTGGTGAGAGGGGAGAAGAGGATGGATATAATACCTCCGGAGATGGATTTTAAAGGCATTTATTTTGTTGCCTTCTTATCACATGTCCCTCTGCTTCTTTACTTTTTTTGGAGGACATCCATATTTTTCAGTGCAAGCGTTTTGCGTTTTGATTTTATTGCCCATGCTGATAGGACTTAAAACAATATTAGAACACACAAGGGCAAATGTAAACTTTTATGTTTTCATCCTCTGTACCAAAGCTTGTCTATGTTTTTATTTCTTGTTTCATTCCTACTGCTTTTATTCAGGCAAAATACCATACAGCATTATTCACCCTGGAGTCCAATAGACTATTTACTTTTGCAGCATTTGACTCTCCGCATTGAAATGGAAGCTTGTTTTCTGCAGAATTAAAAACAATTGATCGCTTAACTACAGCTTTGAAACATTTTGTGTGTCATTATTTTCTGTGTAGAGCTTAGCCTCTGGGGGAGCAGCAACGAAAACACTGTGATTGCAACCGCATCATAAAGTTGCTATGAGTCTTGCTTGGCCGAAAAAAAAAAAAATATTTTCAACACAACAGTCTTTGGTTTTTTCGTTTCTTGGATTGTAATCATATCTTTAATTGGGAATGTTCCAGCACTTGTAAAATTTATTAGCTTAGGAATTGGATAGAATTTATCCATAATCAATGTGCCTTTATTGCAGTGTGTTATCCCGGAGGCTTTGGGACTTATCTAAACCCACCACAATTTATCCACTCTTGTGCTGGGGATTGTTTAACTTTAATCAGCCATTAAATAGGACTTATGTCTCTACCTATATATGATTACAAGTGGTTTTGGGCTGATTAAATAAGATGAGCCTTCAGAAACACAATAATCAAGTTGTTATGATTTTACGATGAAATAAATCCTTTATGTGTAAAATTTGTTTTTGGAAATAGGAAAATAATTAACATTTTACAAAAAGGATTGAATGCATTGCCCTTCAGTAGGTTGTAGCTGTGAGCAATTTTACTGGCCTATAAGTCCCTAGAATGTAAGCTAGTTTTTATTCAAGACTTGAAATTTAGAATCGGTTGACGTTGGATACATTACAATGGCTGTGCTAGATTAAAGCATATCTAAACCAAAAAACAAAAATTTAATCTATTGCAACTTGACAAATGTGATAACTGCATTAGTTTTCGTTTTGTTCCAACTTTTTGCCTTTATTTTTAGCTGGTAATAGTGCAAATTACCCCTTTTTCTGTCCCTGGGTGACTACACCCATTTCTCCACTGTATCCAATGAAGGAGACATGTCACACAGATTTGCCTTCAAACATTGTCTGCCTTTGTTCATCTCCATTACAAAGTGGATTGATATGACTAGTGTGTCATTACTTTGGTCAGGGCCTGGATCACCTGCACCATTCTGGAGGCCACCAGTGGGTGTTTCCATACAGTCAGCTTACCCTAGTATTTAGGGTCCACCTGATACTGGCTGTTAGGAAGGTATTTAAACCCCCCCTTGATGAATATCAGTGCTTTAGTATTCTACCTGTAACCATGTTGCCTGATCCAGTGCTTTGTATCCTGCAAGTAACCATTATTCTGTTAACCACATCCAGTACCCTGTATTGTGCTCTGTTCCCCTTGTTTCCAGTCCTGAACCTGCCCTGTTCATGTTCCTTCCATTTTATTCATAACCTTTGTTAGTTAGGTTGTTGTTCTGGGTTTGCTGTACTATCACATTTATTTTTTTACTTTTACATTGTTTATGGTTTGTTGGTGTTGGAAGGGTGTTATTTATATTAAAATTTATTTAATCATACTGCATCTGGTTCCATATTCTTTGAGGTGTAGCCCACTGATCTGGTCATCTCTGCTGGATACCTGCATTTGGTATCCCTTTCGTAATAGTTTACACTATGGATTTGCAAACATTCTAAACAAAGGGCCAGTTTACTGTCCTTCAGACTTTAGGGGGGCTGGTCTGTGACCTTTGGAAGCAGAAAATATCATAGTGTCATTGGAGTAAACAGTACATCTTTGGCATTAGGGGGAGGAATCACACCCCACTGTTGGTGTTAGTGGCAGGAATTATGCCCCTTTTTTTGTCAGTGGGAGAAATAGTGTCTCATATCAGTAAGAGGAAAAAAAAAAGGCAAGCAAAGGGCTGCATCCAGCCCCCAGTTCAGGGACCGATATTTACACAATAAATATTAAGTTCTTTTGTGGTTTCTTTTGAGCTTGCAGAAAGCAATCAGGACAGTGTATTTCTGGCAAGATCAACAAGTATTTTCTGTACTTTCTGAAAATATTCTTAGCCTGAAAAAAGAAAACTAATGTAACCACCACATCTAATGACCTGTAAGCTGCAATATATATACTTTTTGTTTTTTTAGTTTACTTGTCAGGAGTGACTCATGCAGATAATGTAGCAGAGGAACAAGGCAACAGACAGAAATTACACTTGGTGCTCTGGATTATGACACGTACACACTATAGAAGGTTATGCTTTGTTGGTATTTCATGTCTGAGGTTTACAACCACTTTAAGTTACTGTTGACTAAACTGATTTCTTAATTTAATGTTGGACCATTTTATGATAGGTAACTCATTGATCAATAATGAGATGTGGGAAGGGTACTGAAGACTATCTTCTGAATTTGTACTGCTCAATGTGACTTTTATGGGCCCACCGCTCCTTTGGCCCAGTATAGGACCTGTCTTCTCCCAGCAGTCATGAGCAAACAATGTCCAGGCTGCAGTGTTTGTTCTTCAATTTCACTTAACTTCATGGCAAAACTGCATGGGTACTTACATTGTTAATTCATGACATTACTGTTTCTCTGACGCATTTCACCTCCAATCAGGGCATACTCAGGGAGCTCAATCAGGGTTTATTGAAGTTTTTTGGCATATAAGAATGGCTTCAGTGTTCCCTAACTGTTCTGAATAGTATGTGAACATGCGTTCAGGCACTTTTAAGTGGACCTCTCATCAAATATATGTTTGAATGTATGATATGTGTTAAGTACTTTGTAATGCTTTTAGGTGTTTATCATTACAGACTTCACAGTATTCCCCTTAACAATGCCTTCATCTGCTTTTCTCTCCAGAAGTATAAAAGGTAATTTTAGAGAAGAAAAAAAAAACAGTTTGCTATCTGTTGCCTTTTTCCTTCTCTTTGAAAGCAGTTTATTTTTATGTTGTCATCAGCAGCTAATGAGTGAATCAATTTTTTGCCTTCCTGACTTCATGTGGATTTGTAACAAAAGAATTGTGCATACCAAGTCTAGATGCTGCCCCCCCCCCTCCCATTACTTCAATTTTCATTGTGAAAAGTATTTCCTTTTTAATCTTTTATAAAAAATGTGCATTATTCTTAAATTTAAGAAATGTGAAAATTAAATAAATTGAGGCTACATGTCTGAAGAAAGTACAGGAAGACAATTTAAACCAGTGGATAATAAAGGTCCACAATTACCCTATAATTGGATTGCTATTTCAAGTTTCTTTTTCCTGCTTTCATGCAAAAACTTTGCTACAAAAAGGTATACAATCAAACAGCAACAAGGATCATATTTATCATGAGTGCTCTGTTCAGAACACTGTGGGCAGGTGAGGATCTGTTTTACCTTGCTGTTTTCTGGGGTCATAAATCTGAAGCCCGAACAGCGGTGGCCTCTCTTGCCGCAAAAGAGAAATATTATTGGTTCTCAGGTTGAGCTGAAATATGTAGCCATTCATGTAATCAGTCCAGAAGATATATTGGCCATGTGTGGGAGAGTCCGAACGGATGGTTTAATTGAGTGATAGATAATAACATTTGTATTCCATAATAGTTCATGACCTTTGTTTGTAACCCTAGGTGTCATCACTCAGAGATGTGAAATGACAGGAGATCAATTCAGTTGTTTTTGGCCAAATAAGCCAATTATTTTTATGTCTATGTGTCGGGGATATGGACATCAGCTGAGAGCTCAAACAATAAATTACATACAATGGGAAACCTCTTTCAATGGCAACTGTTGCCCCCAAGTACATGCCTGCACCTATCCTCCTTCTGTCTGTAGAAGGACGACTATGTACATTCTTTGGAACAAAGCATTTTTGTTTATGGACCATTGGCCAGACCCATGCTAGAAAGTGCTTGGATTGTGCCTGTATTTTGTTAGATATAGATCTCAGAGAACAGGTGAAGGTACTCAGCAGGGCGAAGGGCTCAGGAGTGCATATCCCACAGGGTTCATGGCACAGGAATAGGTAACACACAACCCAGTGTACAACCAACAACCAAAAATACCCCCCCCCCCCCCCCAGTGCAGAACTCTCCTTCCTAATCCCCTGCCCAGAAGGAAAATCTCTCATCACAAATCCCCCCAAATATCCACCAAGTACTACAGAGCCCCCCCCCCCAAGTACAGAACCCTCTCTCCCATTTTCCCCTCCAGTACAGAATGGAGCCTTATGAGCAAAGGCTGCAGGCAGGAAAAGGTGGATAGTTGGGTCTCACTGAGCAGGTGGAGCAAGCCTTTGCTTGAGTTTCCCAACAATCAATAGGACGCTTAGTAGCTCCACATATGGGATCAGTGCCAGGGGTGGCAGTGCTAGTACTGGAGTTGCAAGTACTGAATGCCACTCTGTTCCAGTTAAAAAAAGTCCTGGGTACCCTCAAAATGATCTGAACAAAAAATGCAAGCCGGTAAAAAGTATGACGTGCCAGATCTCTCATTTTTGGCAAAGATCCCCATAAGGTGTCTGCTGTGAGTGATCCCCCTAGGCAGCTCATCAAATATCAGGCGCCACAGCTCAACTCCATTTGCCATACAACTGTATATAATATAACAATATAAATGTATAGAGGAAAGTGCCACAATCATATTGTGCCAAGGAAAAAAAAAATAATGTAATGTTGCATAAAATGAAAGGTCATTGCATTTTGGGGCTTCTAAGAGATTCATTGGAGCTTGAAAAGTGGTGAATGAATTAAAAGCAAAACTTTAAACACACACACATACATGGATAAATATTAACTTTGCTTTTGTTTTAATCAAAGGGAGCCAGAACGCAAGCAGCTTCTGCTATGCTATCCCTTCAGCCAAGCCACTATGCTCTGAGAATTTGTAATGCAGTAAATGTTTATTTGTAATATAAATATAGTAAATAGTCATGAATTGATAAAAATATATGCAGTAAAAAATGTTGAAATTCAATTTATTAAAACTGACCCAATCTCTTTATAGTTTTCTTTCAAGGTAGTCACATGCAGTCAGATTATGATCTTTTAGATCAGTGGTCTACAAACTGTGGCCTGTGTGCCAGATGGGGCCCTTTGCTTGCCTTTATCTGGAAGCACTATTCTGCCCACTGACATTAGCAATGAGACACCATTCCTTTTGCTCACACCAACAGTAGGACATTGTTCCTGCTATTGACAGCAACAATGGGGCACTATGATTCCCACTGATTTTAATGATAGGGCACTAATCCTCCCACTGAGACCAAAAATGGGGCACCCCACTGATGCTAACAAAGGGTACTATTCTCCCCACTTATACCAGTGATGGGTCATTATTCATCATCCTACTGATCATAGATGTGGGGCACTATTCCTCCCACTGACACCAATATTAGTTCACTATTCCTCCCATTGATACCAGTGATGGGGCATTATTCCTCCCACTGACACCAATGAAAGGACACTATTTCTCCCACCAATACAAACAAACAATGGGGCACTATTCCTCCAACTAACATCATTAATGAGGCACTATTTCTTGCACTGACACCATTGATTGGGCACTATTCCTCCCTCTGACACCAATAATGAGGCATTATTTCTCCCTCTGAGACAAATGATGGGGCACTATTCCTCTTACTGATACCAACAATGGGGTACTATTCGTCCAACTGACACCAATGATGAGGCACCATTCCTCCGACTGGATATCAATAATGAAGGACTATTCTTCTCACTGAAACCAATGATAGGGCACTATTCCTTCCACTAATAACAACGATGGGGCACTATTCCTCCTCATACTAACCACCCACGCTATGCAATTTTTTTTAGTCCCACTGACCACCAAGCCCAAGACATTGCTTATTCCCATTGGCCACAGTCTGGCCCTCCTAAAGTCTAAAATACATTAAACTGACCCTGTTTTAGATCAACAACATTTACCAGCAACTGTGAGGGGCTCTCTGAAAGCATGTCATTGATAATTGTTTACAATTCCCATAAACATTAGATGGAAGTCTACTGATCAGACAACAATCTAAGTCAGTAAATATCTAAATAATAAATATAACAATCACAGTTGAACCCTTTCTCCTTTATGCTGGGTAGCCTGGGTGTGAATAATTTCATTAAGAATGTTCGGGATATATTTAAATACACATAACCCCAGATTGAGCAATTACTATACTGAATAAGAACTGGTCTGCAGAATCAAGGGCTCAAGAATAGGTGTTTCTAGAACTGCTGACACAGAATACACAAAGGGGTCTGGTGAATTAAAGGGTGAGTCCTTTCAAAACTAACACGTCAGTTTTTCATAGGTGCTGGAGAGTTCAACTAATTGACTATTCCTTATAGCTTATGAATCTACACACCTGTTGGATTTTTTTAAATTAAAATGCATTTTTTTATCTACAAACACCATGTGAATGGTGTCCCTGACAATGATATTTTGTGATAATATTTTAAAAGTAAACTTAAAAGCAGAACTCCAGTTAACTCCACTGCATGGATCAACTGCTCATATTCACCTGACCAGTCAATCCTATGAAAAACCGCGCTCCCCCATGGTCCAGCGGTGGACTGTTCCTGTCTGTGGAGCATGCATTGAGCATGCTGACATCAGAAACAGTCCATTTACAAGACCACTGGATCGTAGGGGGGGGGGAGGGGGGCAGGAGCTAAAAAGACCGGTCTTGTGCAAGGTGGATCAGCAGGTCAGGTGAGTATCTCTTTGGTGTCTTCTCCCCTAGAACAAAATGAGCATTTAACCCATACAGTGCCGGCACAGCCCCACCACACGGGCACAAAAATGTTCCCGTATTTCTCTTTTATTTCTACTTTTACAGAATTCTATTACATTTACCTTTCTGTTGGTCCCATTTAGAAAAATCTGCTCAATGTGGTCATAATAGGCATCACACCAGTACAGCAATTGGTTTCCATAGTCCAGTGATAATCCATTTGGCCACAACATCTTGGAAGTGACAAAAACCTGCCGATTAACCCCATTCATCCAGGACTTTTCTATACGTCCGGCACCATCATTAACAACATCCTCCTCCCAGTCCGTCCAGTACATCCATCTGCAAAACCCAAAGGACAACATTTTTTAAGGTTATTATTAACACCTTAACCCTTCCACTACCAGAAGCTTTTTTTTTTCTTTTTCATTTTTTGCACAAGTGTAAAAATGCACATTTTAGGTCTGAAGATTATTTAAAAACCCGAAAATACAGTATTTCATAAAAGCAGAGACCCTGTAGAATAAAATGGTAGCAGTTGCAATTTTTTATGTTGCACAAAACGTATACAACTGGTTATTAAATGTTTATCATCAGCAAACAATATTCTCGAAGGCATGAACACTACCACGAACAGAGATTTGCATGACAGATAAATATGTTTAGTTTCAGATTCATTTGTTAAGTAAATAATTTTGTTTTGTCATATTTGTAATGTTAGAAGGATTATTTTTTGGAATTAGTTTCATATATTCCTTTCATATCAGTTTGTATTTACGGAAGTTATTTTGGAAGACTGGCTATGTTCATTTTAATGTGTTAATTTGTTATTTCAGGAGATGACGTATGCACTCTGAGTCATCCAACCCACAAAGAAAAATGGAATGAGCTGACTGAACGTTACTGACTGGAGTCACATGCATCCAAAAATAGCGAATGGAACAAAATTGATTTTGGATCCATTTGTTATGTTATGATTTAGAGATTCTGATGGATCCAGCCCAAACACAATAAGTAGGACTCATCTTACTCCACTTTTTTACCTTACTGTGTGTATCACAATATGTTTCCATTCCATATGTAGTGCATTTTTTCCAATAATGAAAAATGGTAATGCAAAAAGAATTGGCTAATTATCCAAAAGTCAAAGACTACTGTGCAGCTCTCATCTGAGTAAAACAAAAGGATCAGAATCAATGTGCATCATTCATTATGGTGTTACATTATTTCGGATGCCTCAAGCATTACCAGAAGGTCCAAACTATCACACCAAATCATCCAAATGGAATAAATGAATAAGAATTAATTTATGGTTTTTGTTATCATTTATTTTGGCTTCTTTGAAATTCGTTACTATTTTGATTTGGAGATTCAGACACATCCGAATCTCTGAATAATGAAAATGTTATCCAAATTTTGAGTTATAACGAAACAAATCACACATGTCTAAACACAATAGGATACCTAATTTTCTGGTAAAATATAAAAGATGAGGTTGTGTTTAACCACTTTAAGCCTGCTCCATAGCAAATGTACTGTTACAGGGTGGCCGTGCTGTGCAAAATTGTGTAAATATACATGATTTTGCATTTCCGGGTAGAGGGCATGTGTGGGAGCGCCGGCTTACCAGCGTTGTCATTGGCTTCGGAAGATGTCAATCACCGGGTCAGAGCCAGCGACTAATGGCTGGGACTCGTTGATCGGCGGAGAAGCTGACAGGGGAGAGATCTGTGTGTAAACAACACAGATCTCTCTCCTGTCAGTGGGGACGTGCTGTCAAGACAGTTAGGCACCATGCACACTAGCATTTGTTAAGCTTTCTTTCTGCACCTAGAAGATAAATACTGTTCTCCTATGTGCTCATGCACACTACTTTAGTCTATTAGCATTTCTTGAGCTTCAGTGCCTAGGAGCAGAAAAAAAATGTTTTCGTAGTTTTTTTGGCATTTACCAAAACACTACTAAAAAGCTAGTAACAGCTTTTTTCCCCTCCACATGTATGCTCCTAAGCTCTCCTGAATGCTTTTGAACGTTACTAAAAAACACCATTACCACCGTTTTTTTATCCAGCGCTTTTTTTAGCTTAACCTCCCTGGCGGTATGATTATGTCAGGAATTTTGTACCAAAAGCGGTTCATTTTTTTGCATGGAAATATGTATTTTTTTTTATTGTAGGCCTGTAATTTAGGAATAACTCACTGAAATCTGTTCGAACAAGAGTCTAGTAAACATTCCGGATATGATAAAACTTGAAACATGAAATCATAATTTGTAATTTAATAAATACTCATAAAAAATAATAATATAATAATAATACATTTAATTCAATAATATAATCAAACCAAAAACACAGAAATTTGAAATATAGCGCCAAGTTCGAACATCACTGAGCAAAGTCGCGAAATCGTTATCAGTGTCTGATGACGAAATTTCCCCACAATCATTATCACTCAATTCTGCAAGTAGTTCTGATTTACTCTCGCTGTTCTCTAGCCGGTCTAAAACCGATTTTGACCTAAAGGGGACGCTTTTGGACGCCGTGGATTTTTCTAACTTTCCAGGCAGAAAGAACAGACAAAATGCAGGCAGGGCGCAGGACAAAGCAGTAGGGACAAAAATGTATGTGAAATGCTTTGATACAGGAATGTTTTGCTATGAAATAATCGTTTTTAAAAAAGTCATTTTTTAAAACTTTTCAAATTTGCCGCCGGTTTCGGCGCCCATACGTCCCGACGTCACAGGGACCGGAACATGGAAGCCAGATGCCGGCATCGGCCGGAGGAGATGGCCCGGGGACGGTGCAGGGGACGCATTGCGGGAGCAAAGGACAAGGTAAGCGCTGCAGGGACTCCCTATGCAACGCTGCATGGTAAGCCCGAGTGTAGCTTGGGGTTACCGCTTTTGGTACTGAAACTTTACCCCGAGCTACACTCTGGAATACCGCCAGGGAGGTTAAAATAAAACAGTTTGCATAGGGCCTTATCCCTTTGATCACCCCAGATGTTAACCCCATCCTGCCCAGTGTCATTAGTACAGTGTCAGTGCTTATTAGCACTGATCACTGTATTAGTGTCACTGGAGATGTCAGTGGCAGTTATTCAGTTCCCACCCAGTGTCAGAATGCCCGCCGCATTCCCGTAGTGGTGCTAGAAATCGCTGATCACCGCCATTACTAGTGTAAAAAAAAAAAAAAAAAATCCAGTATATACTGTACACAGCCAATAGTAAATGTTATAACTTTCACGTATACCAATTAATATAAACTTACTGGGATTTTTTTTAGATGTAGCAGAATACATTTTGGCCTAAATCTATGAAGAAGTATTTTTAAATTTTTTTTTTATTGGATATATTTTATAGCAAAAAGTCAAAACTATTTTTTTTTTCAAAATCTTTTTTTGTTCATAGCACAAAGAAAACCCACAGAGGTGATCAAATATAACCAAAAGAAAGTTCTATTTCTGGGAAAAAAACTGACTTAAATTTCAATTATTTAGTGTTGCATGACCGCACAATTACTAATTAAAGTAATGCAGCGCTGTATCACAAAAAATGGCCTGGTCATGAAGGGGGGTAAATCTTCCGGAGGACAAGTGGTTAATAAGTAAATACGAAGTATGTCAAGCCTCAAAATTGTGCATGTCTGTGAAATGGCAATAAAGTACTGTATGCAAAATTGTTAGCAGGCAATGCTTTAAAAACCTTTATAATTCATCAACTTAGAGTTAACAGCAAATGATGGACCTAGAATCATTGCTTTCATTGCAGTGTATGCAGCGTATGTCATTGTGACATGGTGATTTGAGTGTTTTCATTGGTGCTTCATGTATTGTGTCTATTTCTCTTACAAAACACGTATTATTGTCTTTGTACATGTCAAGCGATTTACAGTACAGTAGTGTTGCCTCCATGAAAGTTCTGCTCCCTACACCAAGCAGGCAGGCCAGCAAGAGAAAGATTTACAACTGAATAAATAAATATTATGTCAAGAGGATAAAATAAGGAAGCTGACACTTTAAAGAGTTGTATCTTGCTAAGCTTTTGACCCAGTTTTTGGCTGTCAATCATTACACCTTGCCCTGCCGTCAATATAATCAGCGGCGATCAGTGCTTTATGGCTTATTGGCAGGAGGGTAATGGATGATTTTATGATGAACTATATAGGCAGGTTTCTTGGGCTTGGTTATGGAATCGATGAACAGGATTCTAATACAAATCAAATAATGTACAAAAATAAAATGAATGAGATCAACACATGGGGCAATTCAACGCATTGTTTCTTTTTTATACTCATTTAATGTTTTGGCTGAAAAACACACAAAACAAAAGGAGAAGATGAAATGCTTCACCGGCAAACCGATCACAGGATGGGAGTGATTTAAATGACCAAACCTGCGAGAGAAGCAATAAATCAGAATGAGCCTACGTTACATTAAGGAGAGAGGCAATCACTCCCATTTGTACATCACTTGTCTAATAGACATACAGACAACCTTTTAGGCCTGGGTCAATATTCTTCTCTGTGTGTTGAGAAACACGATAAATCAATGGAAGCCCTAAAAACATTTATAGGACTTGTTAAAGGATAATTACATTTTCCTTTCTTGGCTGGTTTGTTATTAATGCCTGGCTATGTTTGTTGTCGATGGGGGTGCTGAGAGCCAGCATGGGCCCCTGGGCAAACATACTTCCTGGGCCCCCCGCTACCATTTGAACTCTTTGAAAAACATTGATTCAAAAACTAAAGGTGAGCTGAACTGTCAAAAAACATATGTGATTATTACTGGTGCTATCTTTTTTTGGTGTAGAGGAACCTGGTGCAAGAGTTAGTTATGATGCCTGTGCTCTGCATTTTCCTTTCCTCCTGCCTGATAACGTGGTTCTAAAAGCTGACGGTTGCATTCTATGCATGAAGATAAAAAACCTTCAGTGTGCAGCCTCCCTTAATACTTACCTGAGCCTGATCGCGATTCAGTGCTGTATATGAGAGCTCTCCCCCGGCTCCCTCGGCTCTCCGGGTCCCTCTTTCCTCATTGGATGAGACACAGCAGCAAAAGTCATTGGCTCCTGCTGCTGTCAATCACATCCAGAGGAGATCGCGGGGGCAAGGCAGAGCCTCGCTCTTTATGTCTTATGGACATACTGGGCCGACATGGGTAGCGGGTATTCATAAGTGCCCCCAGAGCAAGCTGGTTGTTCTAGGGGCACTCGGTAGGGGGGAAGGGCTGGGAGAACCATTTGGGGACCCAAAAAGAGGGGGATCGGGGCTGCTCTGTGCAAAACCATTGCACAGAGCAGGAATGATATGTTTGTTATTTTAATTTAAAAAAATAAACTAAAGC